GAAGTTCCGCCGTGGGGAAGCCCCTGCCCGGCTGAGCGGTGCGGGAGGGGGCGATGCCGGCGCCCGGGCACCTGCTGGCCTGGCTCCCCTGGCTCGCGGGGGGCCAGCGAGGCAGCGCGTCAGCCGTTCCATCAGCCAATCTCCGCTTCACATAAAATAAACATACTGGGTGTCATTAAGTGCACCTTCAGATCAATGATTTTTGCAAATGACATTCAAGTACCATTCGAGTAGTGCATTTTTGCTGATAAAAGCAAATTAAATTAGCACAACTACAAGTGTGCTGATAAAAACTAAAACCGAACAGCAGCACCATTAGCTAACAAAGTAATATTTTCTCTTTACTGCTTTCTGCCATTTAGTTATTATCCTATTGGAAATCTAATTATAATCCTTTTACTCCCTAGTCAAACTTCACAGTTTTTGCAAGCTTAGCACTGACAAGTGATTTCATTACATTTGATTGCCCGCGCCCAGATTGACTTAACTTCACTCCGAGACCTAAAAGCCCTCTCAGTTTCTCAGATTCCCTGTTTGCACATTACGGCAACAGCTCCTTTAATTAATTAGCGTGAACAGCAGTAACATGAACTGCTGAACAGAAAATAACATCATTTTATGATCGCAGGGAGACTTCTCCTTTTGCATGTTTATACCTTAGTTAACTTTTGTATTACTATATTTCAGTGTTAGGGGATATTGGAACAATCAGCAAAGCAATGTTATCTTAAAATTTTAAAAAATAGATGTTACCATAATACTTGATGACAACAATTTACAAAAAATAAGAGACTCTGAATTTCGAGACGGAGGCGGCAGCGTAGGCAGACGGACTTTCGGGAGGTGAAAACGTGGTTCGGAGGAAGCCTGGATCGCTGTGCCGGCACCGGGAGCGTGGCCTGGGGCTGCTGCTGCTCCTGTTTGTGAGACAGTCTGGCAGAGATTCAGCGCAAAAACTTGCAGTAACCGTGAATAACTTTCGGTCTGTTTGCCCCAGACGAAGGGCTAGTGAAGTTTGGAACGTATTTCGGTTTTTACTATTTAGAAAACTGGGCTATATTTTTCAATAGTCTGATACAATCGGTCAGTTTTCAAATGCAGCCTGCGATGAAAAAGGCGCAAGGGGGACAGAAAAGAGAGGGGTAGTGGTTTTAAGAGGTTGAACAACTTTGTTACCGTGTCAAGTGACACCTTCAGAGGCTGCGATCTGCTGAAACCAACTGCGCTACGGAATTTCAGAGTGCTCTGCAACCGTGAGAGACAAATTCAGCGCCTTGGAAATCGTAGTGCTGCTGTCTTTGGCTTGCTTTTGCTGAAAATAAATGTTCAAGCACGTACAGTCCCACGTAGGAAAGGACCAGAACCCCGTGATTAGAAAGTCTTGAGATTAAACGAAGCAGAGGCCGCCTGAGCGAGCCCTTCGCTCTCTGCTTCGCCTGCGCCTGGGCTTTCCCTCCTCCCGCCCGCGCCGCGCTCCGGCCCTGGCACGTGTCCTGCCCG